CCCTTCCCTTTGCCCCTGACAAGCCCAGAGAGGCAGGAAGAGCCTAGGGAAGTGGGAAGTGTCTTACCTGGATCTGTGGGTTCCCTTGGTTGAGGCACACACACCAGCTCTGAGCAGGTACTTGTGTGAGCTTGAACACACACACACACACACACACACACACACACACACACACACACACACACACACACACACACACACACGCTCCAGCCCCCAATCTCACGCTCCTGGCCCCCATCCCGGAAGGCCAGACAAAGGAGCTCATCGGTGAGGTTTCTGGTGAGGAGATGAGAAGGCTGGCAGGGAGCAGCTGCTGTCACCATGGCTACCGAGCTGACCCACTTCTCCTCCACCCAGTCTGGCCCACCCAGCCCAGGCAAGGGAGGACAGGCAGCCTTGGGCAAGGGAGCCCTCTCCCATCACACACAGTAAAGGGGAGGGCCTGTGAGGGTGTGGTAAGGGGTGGGTTAAGCACTAGACAGGCTAAGTCCTGCCTAGGAAGGCAATATCCAGACATCCCTTGAGGGGAGCAGGGTGCTGTTGATGGCCCCTCAAGACACCACCCCTTGTCACCCCCAGCATTGGGGCCTCGGGCCTCAGGGACCCACATGAGTCATGCACTTGCCCTGACCACATTCTCTTACACAGTCCTCACAGTAGGGCAAGGAGTGGGGTGTCCAGGCCCAAACCTGGGTCCCCCAGACTCCAAGGACTCAGGACACCCAAGGGTAGGTCAGACCCAGAGCTGGAAGAGCCCTGTGTCCAGTGCCGAACAAGGTTCCTGAGGGCGGGGCTTGTCCTCCCTCCTCGGACTAGGAACTGTTGGGGGCATAGCCATGCCTTCCTTCCTTGGACAGGACTGCCATGGGTCTTCTCTCAGCCAGGGCACTCCTGAGGCCATGGCCATGCATCTGCCCTCAGAATTGGGGACACAGAGGAACAACACAGCCCTCAGACAGCTCAGCCTTGTGAGGAGACAGCTCACAAAGCAGAATGAATCACTCCTGTGTGACAGTCTCCTGTATCCCCCCTTTGCCTTCGGAACAAAGGAAAATCCCCTCACCAAGACCCACAAGCCAAGTGACCCAGGTCGCCCCACGCTCCTGCCTCTCTGTATTCCCGTCCAACTGGCCTTCTTTTCATTCCTCAAAAGTGCCGTTTTGTCAGCTGCCTGCCTGAAACGCTCTTCCCCAGCCCACCCTCATGTTCTGTGGCCCCTGGATTTGTCTGTCATGCCACCTTTGCCTGGCTGGTGGCTACTCATTGCTCGGTCCCAGTTTGAATGTCATTTCCTAGGCGAGTCTTCCCAGACAAGGTTCGTCTCCTGTCATGCTCCCCCAGACTCTGTACTGTCTCTGCCTGTTATGGGTTGAACTGTGTCCCACAAAAAAAGATACGTTGAGGCTCTAACCATGGTATCTCAGAACATGACCTCAGAAGAGGGTCATTACAGATGTGATTAGTTAAGCTGAGGTCATACTGGAGTAGAGTGGGTCCTTAATCCAATATGACTGGTGTCCTTATAAGATGGCCTTGGGAAGACAGAGACACGTACAGAGAATGCCATGTGACGATGGAGACAGGGAATGGAGTGATGCAGCAACAAGCCAAGGGGTACCAAGGATTGCCAGATGTCACCAGAATCCAGGAGAAAGCCATGAAACACAGTCTCCCTCAGAGCTCTGAGGAGGAGCCAACCCTGCCAACCCCTTGATTTTGGACTTCTAGCATCCAGGACTGTGAGAAGATAAATGTATGTTGTTTAAGCCATCCGGTCTGTGGTACTTTATTACAGCTGCCCTAGGAAATGAATGCAACAATGTTCCTAACTGATGTTCAGGCCTTATCTCCCACCCCACCACCCCCTGGCTGTGAGCTGCTTAGAAATAGGAACCATGTCATCTCCTTCACCCTGAGGCCCCAGTGGCCGGCACAAGTCTGGCACATAGTAGGGCTCTGTAAATACTCGTTGAATGAATGGTGATCTAAAATAACATGAAATTAATAGTCTTTACAGCTGGATAGTAGAATTGTGAGTCATTTTTATTTTCTTCAGGTGAAATACTGTGTCTTCTAAAGTTACCACGTTAGAAACGGTATTAACTAACCAATGTCACTCCAATAAATTTAATAACTTTAAAAAAAATGGTATTAATGTTATCATAAAGAAAAATTAAAACACATCTTTTTCTTTGCAAAACATACATTAAAATAAGTCATGTCTACCACTGTGTGTTTTGTGAAGAGGGAAAAGTTCTGCTCTATGCTTGATAACTGCTTTTTTATTGATTAATTGATTCCTCCTTGTGTTGCTAGAGTGCTTTCTGGAGTCAGATTTATAAAGTTTGAGCTCTGGGGCCCTGTGGGACATAGATTCCAGGTGGAAAGGGTCCAGGCAGAGTATGCATGCTTCTCGGCCATCTCTACCATCCACTGCCTCTCACAGCTCGTGAGATCTGGTCAGATGTGGCACCTATCACCTGATGGGCTGCTAGACTTGGCACTTGAGAACACGACCAGCCCTGGCAGAACGCAAGACCCTGCCTCAATGAATGTACTGTCCAGTGCTTCTCAAACTTAAATCTGCACAAAAATCACCCAGGGATCTTGTGGAAATGCAGATTCTGATTCCATGGGTCCCAGGTGGAGGCCATGCTGCTGGTCCACGAACCACCCTGAGGCATTGAGAGGTAAAGATAACATATTCCGGTTGTTCAGAAGAAGGAGTGAACACTGCAGGATGGGGACACCAGAGACGGCATCACGAGGAAGTGCACTGCAGAGCACCTCAAAAGGTAGGGGGGACAGTCCAGAGAGAAAACTCTGTGTTCAGAGGCTGGTGATTACAGCAGTGCAGTTAGGTATGGCTCCTATAAAAAGAAGGCTGGAAGGGCCGGCCAAGTGGCTCAGTTGGTTAAAAGCTCGCTCAAGAGTTTGAGCTCTGAGCAACAGCGGTTCGATGCCCAGCCCGAGCTGAGCTGCCGCTGAGCTGCCAAAAGGTGGCAGGATGGCTCAGCTACAAAAAAAAAAAAAAAAAAAGGAGGCTGTAAAAGGTAGGCTTGGAACAGCCAACGAAGGGCTCTGAATGCAGGGCTAAGAGGCTCGGCTTTAATCCTGAAGGGAATGAAATCTGACATGACTTAGATGTAATGTTTTATAGAGATCAATTTGACACTGACTACAGAATTAGAAGAAAGCCTGACAGCAAGAAGAGCAGTCAGGAGGCAGGTAAGAAGGGCTGTACTACTTCCCCACGTAGCGCAAGTGTAGAGGAAAGGGAGGCCAGAAGTCAGGGGAGGGTTTGGGAGGGCTGCCTTGAGTCAGTGAGGGACAAGGTTGAGGAGAGGAAAAAACCAGAATCCAAGGTGACTTACAAGAAGGGTGGGAGCTGAGACGTGCCATCGGCAGAGCCTACGGT